TTCCCTTGCTATCCCCTTGATGTACCAAACAATTAAGATTATGTGTGTTGGTTTTGGCTGGGGTAGAGAGAATTTTTTTCCACAGCAGCTTGCATGGGATTGTTTTGGCTTTGTACTGGAAAACACTGTTGATAATTCAGGGATGCTTTGGTTATTTCTGAGCAGAGCTCACACAGAGCCAAGGCTCCATGTTAAACTTCACATTTGACATCACCGTTCTGCCTCAGAGATTAAACTCTACCTTCAGCTATACTTCCGAGGAAGCAAGAATAGTACTTGTGTCATAGCAGCATCTATCTCACAAAATGCCTACAGCTGACCTTTAATTTGAGATCAGACAAATTCGGTTTTAGCTCCAAATGGAACTTCGTTACTATTCCTAAACTTAAGAGTTAAGATCTATCCCCATGTGAATTACAAGGTATTTCATAATCCTAGTCATAAGAAGTTGTGGACAATGGTTTGCTGTAATTCCATCAGCACTACTGGAATAAAAAGTCACGGACTCAAAACTTGTGAGTCAGAGAAAGATACTTCCACTAGTTCCTTGAGATAGTTACAATATTTACAGTCTTTGTCTCCACCCTTTTCCTTGTTTTTTACTAGATCTTTAGATCTCAATAACTAAAGATTTATATGTGTGTTTATACATATGTGTATATCATTATACTTTGGCATGAAAGCACAACTGCAGATCAAATTTAGAATACAGGCATTTTATTTATATCAACAGATACCTGCCATAATGTAAATTGCTGACTTAAATTTAACCGCTGCAGATTCTGGCAGGTAGTAAAATAGCAGAGTAGACTGATATTTAAAAACACAGTACAAGGTTACCCTTCCAGTTTTGAAGTGGAAATACCTTAGGTTTTATAAACAGTGTTTCTAAAGGTTTCATTTTGCTGCCATGCAGCAGTACACCAACCCCATCAAAATGCAACAATCTACTTCAATCTAATCAACAGTGCCAGGCATTAGGAATGGCAGCGAGGTATCAGTATTAATGTTTTCACAGTCTTAACCAGACCAGAATACAGCCTCAAGCTCCACTACCTTTGCACTTGTAAAATGAAATAGGAGAAGCTGGTTTAAACCCAGTGACTTCCCAGAGTATATACAGACCACAGGACTGAACACTGTTTTCTCCAGTGGTCAGTAAAGGTTTCATACAGACCTGTGGCATGACAGACTCACCCCGATAAGATCTAAAATCCAATCAGAGAATCCATACAATGCAAAGCTCTTATGCATTCTATCAAGTTATCATGCAAGATCAACTGCTGGTGCCAGGGTGTTGTCTCAGTGTCAATTATGCTAAAACCATCCTAGTTCACCAGACATGGAATCAGATAAGCTGATAGCTGGCCTGTAAATGTGTGACTAGCAGTCAGTTACTTTATACTGTAAAAGTCCAGTCCCCTCTCATGCAGTCAGGTTCGTCTAACATAACCCTCTTGGGCTGTATGTGTGGAGATTCCTTTCTTGGCTGGGGATGCTCTCCAAGGACAGTCCTCAAAGCTGAAAGAAAGAGATCTCTCCACAAGCGTTGGTCTGGGTGAGTCACATCACATCTCTACTTTTCTATTTTCTTTTTTGCTAGTTTTATTATAATTGTTTCTATACTTGCTTCAATATAATACACTATCCTATCTTCTACTATACTAGTAGTTTTAGCTTTTGTATTGTGTAGTAAATAATTGTAATTAAGACCTTTCGTCTGGTCATCTGTAGTAATAAATGATTCATTTTATATAATTATTCTCATTTTGCCAGTCGTTTAAACCTGCAGGACAAAGGTGGTTCAGTCACACCTCTGTAATCCCTTAAATTTAAACCATTGACATAATCCAAGGCTAAGATGGGATTCCTTTCTGAGAAGGGCCTTAGAAAACAAGGGAATCCTTCCTGCACCTTGGGACTCCATGGTAGGGCTTTTTTAATAAATTTCGTCTAAGCCTTCCACTCTCACCCGTGACAAGACCCTGGGGCAACATTTCCAGGGCATGACTGTCAATGCTGACTTCCAGATGCCTAGACCAGGGATGTGGCTGGAATGCTCTGCCACTCTCTCTCCTACCCACTCCCTCTTCCCACGAAAACCTGAGACCAAGAAGGGACAGAGTATGTCCCAGTCTCATGGTGCTGTAGAACAAGGACACTGCCAGCATGGTGCTCACTCAGAGCAGGAGCTGGGGGCACCCCTGCACCCCACAATGAGCTGTAGCCTCACGAACTCAGCACCGTGCAGGAACTCTGTACAGATCCGGGCAGTGCCAATGAACTGCAGAATCAGAGAATCATTTAGGTTTAAAAAGACCAAGATCATCAAGTCCATCCATAACTATCCTCAATATGAGATTATATATTCTCTTCCTGCAGTTTTCTGCCTCATTACGTTCCAAATTGAGCCTGTGGACACCAGCCTCCTCCTCTAAAATGTGACCCCAGCATATGTCTAAAGCAGGTTCATCCAGTGACCTGAATAAAGCAGCTGGTTTGTAACATAACTGTGTGTGATCACATTACCACAATGTCATAATGCATGTCATGTACACAGAATGCAAATCAAGGAAAATGAAGGTTGCAAACTCAACTTCACTTCTGGTATTATCCAGCTTCTAAAAGCTCAACTCCACACCTTAAATGGTGCTTTTGCAGAGCCTTGTTGTTAGTTGGCTTGGGGTCTGTCTTCTTGTTCAGGGAAAGGGAAGGGGTAAAATGGAGGAACAGCATAAATAAGCCTGAGAAAGCAGACACTCCATTGTATGGTACTGTAGAGATCCATTTGGCTGTCAACAGCTCATATGTAAACAGGACTACACAACTAGGAAATTAAGCTCCAGCTTTAAATACTTATGGTACAGCAGTATTATGATATTACTGTTGAATAGCTCACTTTATCTCAAATACGTCTGATGCCATCCATCTGAAGAGACAGATTCAGTGATCTTATGCTCTTTTCTCGCATACTGCAATGCAGAGAATTAAACCTCTTTCTTTTCTTATAAATTACCTCAACATATGTTCTACAATTTAACCTCGGTCTTTGTTTTAACAAAGAGTAAATGTATCTGCTCCTCTTTATGCACATTCTCTCTTTCCTGTTACCTCCAATTTGCATCCTTCTTATTTCTGCTCCCATTCTCTCTTTCATTTTTGTTTTTATTTCTCTGCTATTTCCGTGTCTCCTACTAGTCTGTAATTTCGTTTTCAGTAATTCTATACTCTGCCTGCAATAATTTCTCTTCAGTAACACTTCACCTTTTTACTAGGCATGAAGGATGCACTTCACTGCCCCAGGTTACTTATGTAAGCTCACTGAGGAGGTGATGGCACAGCTCTGTCCTGGTGAAGTGTCACCTTGCAATCAGCTGGCACATGAAAGACTCAGCTGTGACAGAATGGTTGAGGTTGCACCTCAGGGCTGCAACCTACCTGCATTTTACCTATCAGCTGAAAAGTTACAGCAAACCAATGAAATAAGGCCATCAAAACCAAAAAGCCTTCATGCGACTTGCTGTCTGTTCATTCCAGATCATATAAACACAGGTGAAAATGAAAAGGTACACGTTTGTTTTTTCTGCTCCTATTGAACAACATAAAGACGGTGGATTCTTCGGTTTGAAGTACTGCAAAGTCATTTGAGATGTCACACGCTTGATGTCCCTTGACGTAGGCAGGCATTCCAACCAAAACCAGTTTTATGTTTCCCTGTCTTATGTAGACAGACAGGTTTAGGTACATTATATATTACTGTTGAAGCAAGGCAACAGAACAGAATTCAGTGTCAACTCCTAATGTCTTGAAACACTATTGGTTTCAAGAAAGATGGGCTCAGCTTTTACAAGATAATCAAAACTATGCTTTTCTATGCTGCTTCCCTTGGTAGTTGTCAGAGTATTTCCAGAAGTCATACAAAATTAATGTAATGGTGAAAATGTTCAGATTTTCTCATCAAAATTTCAGAAAATAAAAACAGGCAAGTCTATTTCAAACTCTTCTCACTATTCTGCCCCTTTAGCCACTTCCCTGCAATGTCAGTTTACTTTTGTTCACATGAAGACAGTTCTGCCCTGGACATATCTGAACTTATTAAGAAAGAGCTCAAACAACATTTCTGTCTTTTGTGGAGGTAAAATAAAGCAAATGTCAGTCAAATGTAAGGTACCAGACATTTGTTTAGACTGAGAGAGCTAGGATTTAGACTTCTAAGTTCATGAAGCTAAATCCTGTATTTGAGGGATGTACAGACTTTTTTAAGAGCAGTTTAACTGCCCAACCACTGAAACCATGGAAGTCTTGGGAGCTCCACAGGTAATTTCTTTTTATTATTACTAGTAAGCATACACTATGAAAGGCCAAAGATTCATTTATGTAAATAACAGGAACTATCTATAGTACAATACAGTTACACCCCTGTGGCCAGCAGAGGCATTTTCCAAGATATGATACCCACTGTTTTAATATTATGAAAAAGTAAATGGAGACTACAAACCATTTCAGGTAGTTTCAAATTTGTTTAGCAGAACTGAAGATATTTTGGGATATCTGACCACTGCCCAATAGTCTTTAAAGTGGAAGTAGACACAAGTCATACACTTGCTTCTCTTTATCTGAGTTTGTCTTTCATCTGCTGAGAACAAGTGTGGTGAGGCCACCACAACAAAGTGAAAATCTGCTGCTTCATTAGTTACAAGTCTCCAAACATTGTTACTTGCATTGACAACTCCAGGAAAAGTCTTCCATAATTTAAACAACCTTAAGCAGACCATGTATTAAAAAAAAAAAAAAAAAAAAAAATCAATAAATAAATAAAAAAAAATTAGTTTTGGATTGAATTGAATGGCATCACCAGATTGAACAAGATGCTGACAGGAAAGTAGAGACCACAGAGTGAATTGTTAGTGCAGCACATCAGGGAATCACAGGATTCACTTTAAGCGTGGCATATACAGGAAAGGTTACAGCACTGTAAAAACTTTAGAAATCAGACTTACCATTCTTGGTCAGATACTGAACATTTGCCATCACCCCTTCAGTGTAAGCTCCCGGTTCGTAATTGTCCATCTCGCCTGAAACAATGTGAGCGACTCTGGAAGCGCGTCCTCGGATGGCACCTGCGGCACGATCCAAACCATCCCCATCCTGCTCCCTCAGGGCAATGATGCACTTGTTCACATCCTCGAGAATGTGGCTTTCTGCAAACAGAACAACACTGCTCTCAGGGTGGCACCTCTCCCACGATCACACACCGTTTAGACACAGAGCTGGCTGCGTTTTTGAATTCCCTCATTGAAAGGCCAACACAACTCGAGTGAAAAACCTACAGCAGGAAACCTCCACTGAGCTTCCTTGAAATTCTTACAGCAATTTATTGATTCCTAGCATTCAAAGGTGCAGAAATACTCTCCTATAAGCAATATAGTGGGGTAGAAAGTGTTACAAAGATAGGAGAACCACAAGCCCTTACATATGAAGTGAATATTTGCAGAATGAAGGAAAATTTCTAAGTATTAAGGCTGCTACTTTATTGTTGAAACCCTCTTAAGCCACTGTGACAACAGTTTCCATAAAGCAATGAGTTTCCAATGACAAACAGTTGCCCCAACAACTAAACTAACTTCTTCGACACTGAAGTGTTAGGATGTTCATGCTAAATCAAACTCTTATGTGAATAGAAAAAGATGTATTTTTGCCTGCTGTTAAAATTACACTACTAATAATTAAATTTTTGCAATATTCATCGTCTTTACAAAATATATACTTCTTACATATCTTCCACACAATTTATATTTCTTCTTATTTATAGTAATATACTTGCTGTATTGCTGCATACAACTCTTGGTTTATATGCTATAAAATGAGCATTTCTAAGTCTTCCATAAAAATCTGAAATGTTGAAAAAGAGCAAAGATTTCTCTAGAGGAAAGCACAAGGAGAAAATGGTTGCTTAGAGACTGATGGAAGAAACTGTTGGGTTGACATGGTGAGAAATGAAAAGGCAGACAAATGGAGAAGGGTGCCACTCAAAAGAGAATTACAAAATTCTTCTTCTAAAATAAATTATCACCCCTTTGTCTTTCTGAACACATAATTTTCCTCAACATTTTTCAAATGGCAATAGTAAAGTTGTGTATGTGTTTAACAAACCATTTTTTGATACTCGAATATATCATAATGGGGGGAAACAAAAAAAACCCAACAAAACAAATAAACATTTGCAGAAAGGGCAGAGATAAAGGAGAAAATACTGTGCTAAAGTAAGTAGGATTGGTCCTAAAACCAAAGGGTGACAGACATGAATAAGGGTTCAGATCAATCTAGAAGACAGTAATGTCAAGACTTAGAGAGGAAGCAGTTATGTGCTTTGTTACTATTCCCATCTATACCACAAACACCAAAGGGCATATTGCTTTTTTTCAGGCAAAATAATATAAATATAAAATTTGATTTATGGTACAAAGGGTAATATCATAAAACATAATTTAAAAATACAGCTTGTTTAGAGCTTTAAAGCTTAAACACTTCTTAAAAGTTTTCATATAAGTGTTGGTATTGAATTTCCTTTCCTATACAGATCTACAGTCTGCTTTGTCTCTCAAGAGAATGTAATACAAGAATATTAGAAATGCATGATGTGAAAGCAATAGATTTGCTCCATCTTCAGAAATACCACTGTGATACTTCCTTTGCACTAAGCCAGGAATTAATTCAGAGCTTACATGGCTCTTGTTAATTCACGTGACTGCCATTTGGTACATCAGTATTAAATTCCATTTTATGTTAGATAATAAATGGGACAATCACAGTAACTCAGACAGATAAAAACACACAGTTAGGTAATCCTAAATTACATACTGAGTCTCACATGAGTATCTTGAGACTGTGTCTATGCAAAATTCTAGTTCAGTTTATGAAAGTGCTACATTACAGAATGCCTCTGTGAACATGGAATGTCCATGTCACCAATCTCCAAGGTCAGTAGGAAACGAGAAGTTTAATAATGGTGACTTTGTCAGCACTGTTGGCTCAGTCTGTGTGTATTTGGTAACTGTGCTCATGAACTGACACCTCCATGGAAACAGGACATCTCCTTCAGTTCCACCCACACCAAACACTCCACACCCAACTGGGAAAGAAAAGGGCAAGTAACAAGGTGATCCAGGCACTAACCTGTAACTTATCTCCCATTTTCCAGGCATCTCTTCCTGTGGGCTTCCACACGAACCAGTCTGTGAATGTGCACAAGGTTGAAGCACTAATGGAAAGAGAGGGCTGATGTGCACAGAATGCAGGAGAAAGGACTAACAAAACCCCACTTCTGCTGCCACAGTTATGTCTTAAATGAAGTAGTACGTCACCATTGTATTGGGTTTAATGTTGTCCAAGTGTTGACAGAGATAACTACAGAAGTGGATAGCACAACCTCCACTTGAAGAGCTTTTGTGTGAAGAATACACTGCTCTTTGCTGTTCAGCAAAGACAGCCATTAAAGGGCTTAGTCCTGTGTAAACAGAAAGGCAGGGCTCTTCCAAGATCTACCAAGAAAAATCTCCATAATGGAAAAACACAGTTAAAGGTTATTTGGTATGATAGGAATCTCAAATGAATTGAGAAAAAAACTTGCACGTGGTTTAATGAAAATACTGTATGAATGGAACACATCGTGGAAAGCTCCCAGTCATCAAACCCTTCTAAGAGATGCCACAAACAACATTTTTATGGAATAGCAAACACGGGCCCAGATGCTCAACAGAAATGCAGTTAGACCTTTATGTTCTGGCCTGAGATTCCAACCAGCAATTTTCTTCCAAAAGCCCAAAATAAAATCAGGGAATATAAATTAGAATGTGGTGTTATCCTTCCAGATACTGAGTTTCAAAGAAGACAAAGATGGAAGCAGATTTTATTAACTTTATATTGTCCACCCACCTTGTACTAGAAAAGCTGTGCAGCATCTTTTCCTGCTACGTCCATACACGGCCACACGTAAGGGGTCACCTGAGAACTTGAGGAATGCCATAAATATACCAGAAGCTCCCAAGCTCTTGTCAGTGTGACAGAATGCACAGACAACATGCCCACACAATGAGCATAAATGATCTTGTCCCCACACAGAGGTACTGCACTGCAGACCTTCTGAATACCACAGCCAACACACAGCCTCTCAACTATGTTCTGAAGCTCTTCCCAGATGAAGCACTTCACAATCAATAAAACCTTGCATAATTTCATTTTCCCAAAGCACAAACAAGTTTATATATTTACCTTAGGAGATCTAATGGAAAAGAAAAGAAATCAGCACCGATCACAGTCCAGCTGAGGTGGTTTTAATCTCTATCTTTCTTACAGATGCTTCCTCCTCCTATACAAAATGCATTAGGTCAGCTTCTGATTTTCATCTAAGTATCCTACTTCCCAGAGTAGAAAAGAAGATTAGTATGATGTCCCATCTCTTTGTCATGAGTCAATGTCCAGTGTAAGAGTTAATTGGAACAGTGGATTGATAGATGCTTAAAGAAATTGTCAGATTGCCATGGTCACCACAGCAATTACCGTGAGTGGTGCACTGTACCTTCTGATTTTCCTTTGGGATATTGGTGTTAGTCATAATGGCCAAAAATCATATCTGAGCCGAGCTAACCAATGGATAATAAAGCAGTCTGACAAAGCCATGACTCAGACTGTCTCTGGGACAAAATCAATAGCTCTTCCTTTGAATGTCATCTAAGAAAAAGACAGGTGATGCCCTTCCACTCCATTTGGCACTGATAAGGTCTCAGTTGAAGCACTTTAATTAAAGTTTATCTGCTCAGTTAAAAAAAAAAAGTGAACCAAATGGAGAGACTATGAAAAAAAAAGAAAAGAAAAATAGTTACGAGAAATTTAAAAAATGTGAACAAGCAATAGAAAACTCAGTTTGGTCACCCAAAGAAAATGTGGAAAATAAAACATACTTTGCTGCAAGCCCTAAACCTAAGAATGTATGCAGTGATAGTTTAGCCTGACCAAGATGATTTTTATCTTTTACTCTCTGTTGGCATGATAGGATGGGAAACCAAGAAACTTTGTACAAGAAGTCAGCTTCCTTTCAGAAGACTCCTATTCCCTGGATGTGCTACTCAGAAAAGGATTCCAAGTTTTCCAATAATGGCACTACCCAGTATGGCAAAAGACACATTCCCACAGACTCATAATGCTTTGATGAACACCAAAAAAATGTCTGACAGCAAATAATTGTTAATAATTTAGATTTAGAAAGTTTCAGTGCCAAAGTTAAGAGAACGAGATGACTAAGTGAAAAATTCAAGTCCCAGTATACAATTCCCTGCTGTCACTCCTTCTGCATTCAGATTAAAAAAACCTTACATTTAATTCCCACCTTTTTCCTGCATACTGAAGTTCAGACAATACTCAAGGCCAAATCTCCATGAGCAATCTTATGAAATAGATTTTCTTGGCACCTGTGGCTCTTTTAATAGAATATCTACATTCTACAAGCACAACAGTGTTTTAGTCACTATTCAAAAATGAAACCACTGGTAATCACTTAATGTTCAAAGTCCCTGGCAATTTCAAGAGAAGAATTTTTAAGTTAATAGAAAAGCAGAGAAAAATTACTCAGAGTGAGGAAAATGCACATCCTTCCTTCTCTGATTGCATTAACTAAATATACTTTATCTGCCAAAACTTAGTAACTAGATGATAATTGCTAATATTGTTTGTTGCTAATCCATCTGACAACACTGCCATTCTGTCTCACACTAAGAGTGGCATTGACAGGCAGGGCTCCCAGTCATCTGATATTTACTCAAATGCATTAATGCTTCCAAAATGCTCCGGTGTTAGACACATAACATACAAAGTGCATAAATGACTACTGTTATGTCCATCTAAAAAAGGGCAAGGAGGATCCAGAAGGCTAGAGGCTAAAGCTTCACCTCAGTTCCTGAGAAAATATTGGATCAAGGAATGCTTGAGAAAAGCAAAGGAAACTTAAGACTTGATGTGAGAGAAAAAAAATATTCTCTTCAAAACACTTGAACAGATTGCCTGTGGAGGCCAGAAATTAATTGATGCAGACAAGTGGGTGCAAATTGATGCAGACAAGTGGGTGCAAGTGATGTTGTTTTCAGGTGCTAGTTAAAATAAAATATTATTACTTTTGTGGTAGACTTTTTCAGTGCTGTTGAACTAC